GTGTTCTCTCTCTCTCTCTCTCTCTCTCTCTCTCTCTCTCTTTCTCTCTCTTTCTCTCCCCTCTCTCCCCCCTTCTCTTCCTCCTCTTTTCTTGTTCTCTTCTTCCTTTTTTCTCTTAGACATTATATACAAAATATCTCTTTATGATCAAGCTCTATCAATAAAGACAAATTTGTCTAAACAACTTAATATTATATTATATATATTATATTATATTATAATATATTAAAAAGCCTAAAGTTTTTCTAGAAATTTTCTATAAGATTTTCTACTATTGGGAGAAACCTAAAAATCAGGCGATTTGTTTCTACTGTGAAAAATCAGGAAATTCTTAAAAAATAATATAAAATTATTAAAAATCAGACAATTTCTTTGAAGTTACTTTTTTCAAGATTTTGTCTTAATTATATATGATAATTGAGAGTTTACTGACTGAATTTTTAACGATAACAATAGAGCCATTCGCTTTAAACAGAACTGATTTTTGAATCACACTGATTTTATGATTAATCCAATATTCAGTATTGAAGATAACATTTTCATATTAAATGCAATTTAATGAAAACGAATATTTTTATTTTAATTCTTTTAGTTTAAATTTCATAAAAGTTGAATTTTGTAGCGATTATACATTATATAATTTTTTATATAATAACTATATGTAGCTTCTGAAAATAAAACTTGAAAATTTTATGTAATAAAATATTTATTTTTTAGAATTCTAATAGCTTTTTTAAAATTTTTTAAATTTGATTGAAACTCGATCGATTCTTAATTTTATTTTATGATTTATAAATTTTTATAAGTATTGAAGAAAAATATTGAGGACTTCATACAATAAATATATATTTATTTCTAAAAAATTTAAAAACTTTAATTTTACCTGGAATTTTAAACAAATTGCCTTGAGAATCAGGAAATTCTTAAGGAATTGTAAAAAATTTTTTTAAAAGGGTTTGGATATCATGTTCTAAAAAAATAATAGAACTTTTTTACACAAACTCTGATAAAATTTTTTGAATTATTTCTAAGTTAAATGACAGTTACATTATTATTTGCAAATAACAAAAATAATAATGAATAACGTGCTATACTGTCACGCCATAATAATACAGATTTTAAGAAATTAGCTTAATTTTAAGCATTTTACTAATGCTCAAAATATTACTAATATAATAAATATATTAAGCATTTTACTAATATACTCATGCTAAAATAAATTGTTTTATTTAATACATTCAAATCAGTCTGTGAATAATTGGCTTAAATCCGCGCGAAAGAAGACTTCGCTTTTTCATTTTCATAAAGAAAATCTCAAAAAATCATCAACTTTCAAATAATGCTTTATATATGTATCCGCCATAATGTTTTGACAAATTAATTAATTGAATTAGTTAACATTAATTACACAAATAACTTCTTCTATAACTGCACGCTTGTAAACTTTGAACACTTTAAGTACACACGGTAATGCACGAAAATAACCGATTGTAAATGTAGATTAAGAAAAATGTAATTATTACATTACAGTAGTACATCTACGATATATCATATTTGACATACTGTGAACGCACATATTTGAATGCGAAGAAATGAAAGTGCGAAGGATTCAGACCGCGGTAATTTATTTACATAAGCAAAATGATATGAATTGTCAATAATAACATGCATGTGCAATAACTTTATATAATTTGTAAATATACACTTTTTCAGAACCATTCCTTGAAAACGTTGAAAATATACATCATAGAGCGGACATATCAAAAGAAGCCGATAGACATCAAACCGCTAGGGTATGTGTACCACCAATATGGGCCAGAGAAAATGGTACAGATCAAATATATTTGGATAATAATAATGTGAATGTTCCTAATGAAAGGAATTTTGTAACTCAATTACAAATTATAAATAATGTCGCTACTAATGATCAGTTTATGAGGTAAGTGAAAGATAATTTCTTCCTTTGATGTTTTCTAATCAAGTAGTCTCATCAATATTATAAAGTAAATCTTGTTAACAATGTTATATAACATTTGAACTAATAATATATTAATAATTAAAAACACTTTGTTAAATTATGAAATATATTACAGACAATTGCCTATCATTGGATACTCAGAAAATAATACGGAACAACAAGATAATACTAGGAATACAGCAATGTTGCAAGCTTCTTCAGCTAATCAAAACAGCAACACGGATTCGAGCCCTGAACCGAATGATAATAATAATTGTAATTGTAATCATAAAACTGTTAAAATTCGTCAATTATTGCAACAAAATATTGGAATGAATGTGAATGTATAATGAACAAATTGAGATTACTATTATTTATAATTATTCCCATGTAGCACAAATCTTTAAAGAATGTTCTAAAGACGTCAAAGGACAATAAAAAGATATTCCCGAGACATTTCTCGAATAAAGTATTCTATATGTACTATTATATATGTCATATGTTCAATATACTTTTCATATTAAAATTGTATTATATTGGGATAACCCGCACACTACAATATAATGTTAAAATAACAGAAATATTTATAAAAATACATCGTAAGAGCATTCTTTTGGATATTTCTGTTGTGTGGGAAGAAAGAAAAAGATCCATGAAAGCCATAAAGTACATTTCTCATTATAATATCTAAATCATTTATAACACAGAGATATAATTTTATTAAAAGCTATAAAATAAAAAGTTCAAATAAAAAGTTCTTTTTATATAAATGAGTTTTATAAAAAAGATTATACACAGATAAAAAATTATACATAATGTATACATATATATACTTATAAATGATTTAGATGTATAAAGAAAAATGTACTACATATTCAATGTGTTTGCTCAATATGTATACATAAATGGCGCTTTTTTTATCTTTTTTGAATTCTTTTTATGCAATAAAAAATATATGCATCGAAAATATATGTATTGAAGATACATACAATGAAAATATAAGTATGTTATATTTAAATATAACTGACTTATACTTGAGTAGATATGCACAAATTTTTCTACATGTGTTTCTTCATTTATATAATATTTAAGAATTTCTGTACTTTCACTATTTTAGATTATCACGACCTAATATTTTGGAAATATGATGGGTAGAATTTCAAGAAGAAAAAAGAAAGTACGATAAACAGAGAAAGTTAACCGACTGACCTAAATTTATCAAATCTGAATATTTCTGTTAGTGAATTCTTTAATTCGCATTCAGATAATATTTTGATCAATAAAATGAGCATTCAATAAAGATTATTGATATTTATTTAATCATTAATAATTAAGTATTAATGATTAAGTATTCTCAATTATCTTAGTTCGACATATTATAATATTTTGATATACACTATTTTGAGTAGAAGTACTAAAAAGTAACATTTTTTAAATTTATAATTGGACATGTTAAAAACATATTGACTTGAATTGACTTCACAACACGCACACGAATATGCTGATAAAAAAATAATGAGAAGGTAGAAAGATTGGAAAGTTTGGTGGAAAGGAAAGCCTTTCCGTGTCGACTCATACGAGTTCTCATTCGTAGACTTGATCGCGCATCGCAAAGTAGTGGTCAACTTTCTGTCACTTATTACTGGTGACTTTTTGTCACTTATTACTGATCGTGAGTGTAAATCAACTAATCGTCAAATATAGATTGATAATTATTTGGAAAAGAAATAGGCAGTAAAAATGACTGAACAAATTCCGAAGTATGAATTTCTGTCGGAGGAGAAAACAAACGAAATGCTAAAATTATTTAAGGGTGAACGTACTGGCTGGGTTATGGTGAGTCCAAAGAGATACATTTTTCCATTGAGATTTATTGAACAAGGCGCCGGATTTTATAACATCAAAGCTAGATCGGATGACACATGGGTGATGAGCTATCCGAGATCGGGTACGTATCATTTCGTGACAAATAAAAGATAGCGATAATAATCTATTATGTAAGTATTTTTAGTGTAGTATTCTAAATATTTTTAATGTAATATTCTATTTTTATTAACACTAAAAATACAAGAAATAGAGATTTTTTTATTAAATTTATTTTTTTAATCGACATTCTAATTTTTCAAGCGTCCTTTAATTGACACCCTCATTTTGTATTTTTATTAATAAATTATATAAATTATTATATAAGTTATTTTATTTTTTATTTTATTAAATGATTTCTAATTACATCTATATTAATACATTCTTTTCATTGCAATCTATTTTGACGACCGTGGCTAATATATTGCGGAGGATCATGTGCTGACTCGGAAAATGATTGATTATTGCGTCGATTGATTAAAATAATTTATTTTATTTATTTTATTGTTAAAAATGTCTGCCTGTCGCGGTCCGTGAAACGATTCGTCTCATGTTCCTGAAAGATTCTTCAAGTTCGACCTGAACTTTTCAAAATTCTGATAAATATTTAGTGATTATACATTATACATTTCAGATTTAATGATGGATTTCTCGATATAATAAAATATATATACAATTTGACATTAGAACGCGATAATCCCGTCAAATTTGTTACGAATCGTTGCATTTCTTTGTGCTAATAATTTTACGATAACATCTGTCTATTCCAGCAATGTCCTAAAGAATTAAATAGAAATCTTTTCGCAATTTTAAGAAACCATTATCCTCATTTGTTTATATTTCTTATGTTGTCTTTCCTGTTCAAGTTTTTATATATTTGTGCACTCTTTTTTTTATACGGTAATTCTTGATTAGGCTGAAAATCGTATTTCGAGGAATAAGCAGCATTCGTTAAACTATCTTCGGAAATTATTTGAAATCCGTTTAATAAGCAGAAATAAATGTTCTTTTTTTTTGTATAATTCTGTTATCTTTCTGAGAAGAGGAATTATTTGCTGTTATTTTTACTCTGTAAATATTATTAAGTTTTACCTATATAAATTAAAGGTACTACATGGACGCAGGAATTGGTATGGCTACTGTCAAATAATTTGAATTTTGATTTGGCAAAAAGTCGGCTGCTCAATGAGAGATTTCCTTTCCTAGAATTCAGTTTGTTTAATCATGCAGAAGTGACTCTTGAATTTCTTTCTGAAAACCAAGACGACAAAGCGAAACAGCAGTTTTGTAAAGACATAGCTAAGCCCGGCTATGAAGTTGTTAACGCGATGCCATCGCCTAGATTTATTAAAACTCATTTTCCACTTAGTATGCTCCCAGGTCTTTTAGATGTTGGTTGTAAGGTAATAATTAAAGAAAAATTTATTTTATTAGTAACGTCATCATGATTTTGTGATATTTTTTTTGAAGGTCATTTATGTTGCTCGTTACGTAAAGGACGTTGCTGTTTCCTGGTTTTATTTGAATAAGACCATTCGTACTCAGGGATATATCGGTGACTTTGCCACTTTTTGGGATTATTTTCAAAACGATTTAAGTAAGAAAAGTTAACAATTATTAAGAGATATCCAAAAAACAGCTTCTTTTTGTATTTTTCTGAAAATTTTAAATATCTCTTTTTCTTTTGGACAACAATAAAATGCTTTGTTTTCATATTTCTTCTCTTTTAGAAGAAAGATTAAAATAGAATCTTATCATAACAAAGATTTTTAAAATGTATCTGTTACCAATTTTTTTAAATCTATTTATTTTTATTTAATTTATTTTTCCAGCTGCTTACAGTCCGTACTGGAGTCATTTAAAGGAAGCGTATGCCTTAAAAGATCATCCAAATCTTTTATTTATATTTTATGAAGAAATGCAACATGTATGTTTTTTATTTTATTTTCTATCCACGTATTCATTTCATTTAAGCATGTTTTTTAACGCATATGAAACAATTTTTTATTTAAATTTTTAATTGTAATTTGTTATATGAAATGGTTTTTTTTTATTTTTCTTTTCCGTTATTTTTGTCTTATTTTAATTATTTTAGCTCATAGAATGAAAAAAAATATTTTGCAATATATTTTATTATTTCAGATATTGGAATTATATTGGATTACATATGATAATGATTACAGAACTTCTTTCCAGAATTTATATTTTAAATATTAGAATATTAAACTAAATTTAACTAATATACAAACTAATTAATAATTTAGAAATAATATATTTATTACCTATGCTTACTTTTTACATATATAATAAAGAAAATTAAATATCTTTTAGGATTTCCCAAAAGTAATCAAGAAAGTAGCAAAATTCTTGAATAAAACGTATAGTGACGAAGAAATATGCAAAATTTCTGACTACCTCGATATAAAAAATTTTCGTAATAATGAGATGGTAAATTATTCAGAATTTAGAGCCTGTGGAATAATAAAACCAGAACATCCTTTTGTTCGAAAGGGCGGGAGTGGCGGTTGGAAAAACTTCTTTACTCCTGAATTAAATGCTAAAGCAGATAAATGGATTGAAGAAAATCTCAAAGATACCGACTTACATTTCCCATTTTTCAATAATCACATAAATAACAATAATTAAGAAATTATCAAAAAAATTAAAAAAGTTTTTATCTTACAGATTTCATCATTCAATAAATATATATATTGTTAAAGTTTGAGTTACAAATTATTCATATTTAATAGTATATGTCATAAAATTAAATATATTATATTATATTTAATTCCAATCAAATTATAATAAAAAATAATTTTAAATAAATAATCAAAAATATAAAAATTTCTAGAAATATTTCATATTGTTCCTATTTTGTATAAAAAATAATTTTATTTTTTATCTTTTGGTATTCTTTTGAACGCATCATTCGAGTGATATCTCATGGATGATGTAGAAAATTATTTAATACATATTAAATAATACTATTAATTTACTATTATATTCTATTTTGTTATATTATAATTATAATTATAATTATAACTATACAAATTTATATAAAGCTGTCATTTATATTATATATATATATATATATATATATATATTCTCATTTTTACAAGTGTAGATTAACTTTAATCTCGGTTTAACTTGTTTTTCTTTTTTCTCCAATTCGAAAATTAAAAAAGAATTATGCCCGATTCCACCTATGTAGATTTACTTTAATCTCGATTTAACTTGCTCTTCATCTTTTTCTAGTTCTAAGAATTAGTATAGTTCTAAGTAAATTGAATTAATCTGCGTTGGTGGAATCGGGCATTAAGAGATTAAATTTACATTTATAGAAATGGATATAAAAAGAGCTATGCGTTTTATTGGACACATCCATTCACATCAGCCAGCGTTTAGGAATTTTCCAGTAGATTACCTATCAAAAGATTTAATATTCGACCAATTGGCAACGTGGACAATAGGTGCCACTCGTCTGCACTTTGTTATAATCGCATATTCATGCTCTTCAACACAAAGTGGCGCAAACTTCAGAGAATACGACGGATCACACGAGAGCGGATAGGTAAAGTCCCGTCCCATGATTTCTTTAACGTTTTTTCATGTCAATGTACTCCGACGTGGTCTCAAATGAGCATCAGTTCTTTGTTACTCCATTGTTTCTTACGTCGTGGATATTTGTTCTCCACCGCAGCTTTTTCTATCACCGTTGACTTTCCGAGTGTATCCTAAACGAATATTCGATCCCTCGTTATTTTCGTTATCGCAAACTCGGCACTCGGTCACTCAAAATTCCCGAGAATTCTCAAGTGATGGACCATCAGAACGTTAATATGGATTTGTTGTTTTTCTCGTCGATAGACGAGGCTACGAAAGCATGGCTTGACACCCTGCATCGGATGTGGGCGCTGTGTAAGCATTTAATCTAACTTTTCTCTTTTGTTTCGTTTGTCCTTCCGAACTTTCGTTCGTATGCATTAAATTATGTCAACCGCAGGGAAGAAATGCGACGGTGTCAGCAGGACATTGACAGATTACTTTGAAACTGCACCGAATCCTTATCTCAGCACACTGAGGATTCTCGTTAACACTACGGATTTTGACCACAATACAAATAGCAAATCGCTCGCATTTGCAGGTTTACCTTTTAACAACCTATTTTGCAATATATAATGTATATAATAATTTTTATAGTTTATAAATTTAGGACACTTAGAAAAAAATCATTGTAAAGGGATTAAGGATATTTTTCCAACTGACAAAAAGTTTATATTTCAAAAAACAAAATATATATGCAAATATATATGCATAAATTAATTTAAATCCTGATAAATCAATGTTTTTATTTCTATAAATTAAGAAAATATATTCTTCAATATTAATAATTATTGTAACAATATTTCAGAGCTTGTATCATATAAACGAAAAATATGATTGTATACATTTCTTTGAAAACATAGACTTCTTGTAATTTTAATTGATTATAGTGATAGAGGAGTTTTCAAATTGGATAGAAGATAGAAAAGAAGGCTACAAGGAATTTCTTGTTCCTGATTTGAAGCTAGCGACATTTAAATTAGTGCGACAGAAACATATGAAACAAATGCTACTAATAAAGAAGATATCAACAATATATGAATTTGTAGAGCATAAAGAAATATTCCTACAAATAATAAAAGTATAGTTGTTAGAAATGATTGCTAGAAATCTATTTTATTTTATTTATATGTATATATTTTCTATATATTTTTTTTCTTTTAGGACATGATACGAGAAAAAGAATATAAGGAAGCTGCACAGTATGCAGCAATGTTAAAATTGCAAAATCATTTTATAGATCCGAAAGTATTATTATTGCCCCTTATATTACAGAATAAGTTGCAAATAGTTGATGAATTCTTAGTAGACTGTCCAGAGGTTCAAGAAGCCTTGGCAACATATTTAGATAATTTAATAGCACCAGGGAGAAATGGGCAAGTTATATTGGAAGAATTTATCAGGTAGACAATAATGTGTTCATTTTCACACTTTAATTTCAGATTGTTAGCAAATTGATATTTTCATTAAACTAAATTCTTTCAGTACAAATGATATACCAGAAGTTAAGATGTCATTGACACAAATTCGCCCGATAACCAAGCTTGTTGCACGTTTGACAAAGCGACATAACTTGTCGCCCGATGTATGTCCCCATTTAAATACAAAACGAAACGAAGGAGCATTACAATTTCTTATATACAAACGCTATGTAGATGGTAGCTTAAGTAAATATCTGTTTTCCTATATTATAATTTAGAAAGATCAGTCTTGAAAATTAAAATATATTCAATCTCTTTCTTTTATACAGATATCGCCAGTTGGAGAGAGATGGTAAGAGAAGCAGTAGTGAACGATGCCAAATTACAAACAGAATTACTTTCTATGCTAGTTAATGCTAATGATGCAGAAGAAGGTTTATATTGGGCAAAAGAATATGAAATACCTAGAGATGAATGGCCATGGTCTATCGTGCGTGTAGAGGAGCAAAATGCGCAAAGTAATGTTTTTATCTATATTTTTATATTTGCATCTTGAGGAATATCCATAATATTATAGTTTACAGGGGTAAATGAAGGCGCTTCCACGAGTAAGGAAAGAAGTCGGGAATTGAATGAGGATAATGTAAATTATCATATTTTGAAATTACCAAGAGAAAGAATAAAATTAGTAGATAATAGACGCATGTTTGAAGAATTCCTTGATAATGGATTGAGAGATGTTACTATAGTTGGAATTGATTTGGAATGGAAACCTAGTTTTGGTAACAATCAAAATTTAAACGTAGAAAAATTGTATAAAACAATTTGTAATATATTATAATTAAAAATGTAAATGTAAATTTATGTTTTATCAGGTACTAAACAACCTGAACTAGCACTTATGCAAATAGCTACTGAGGATAACGTCTATATTCTGGATGTAACTACTATTGGCAATGATTTATCTGAGCTCTGGACTGAACTTGGTCTTGTATTATTTGGAAATAAAGACATTGTCAAAATAGGTACGCATTTTTAATTATATAAAAATAATGTTTGTACATGAATTGAAGTTAAACACAATATATATATTTTATTTTACTCATAATTTTACATTCTATTTATCATAGAAACATATAATCAATTAGTCAGCTATTTTGTGACATGAAAAAAAATGTAATATTACATAATATTATATATATTATACAGGATTTGGAATAGCACAAGACATGACTGTAATACGTAATAGTTTACCTGCTCTGTCATCTGTTAAGACACATGGACAAGGATATCTCGATATGATGCTTTTATGGAGAAAATTGGTAGAAGAATATAACTTTATTTTCCCATATAAAGGTGATCCAAATTTTACTAACAAGAGCTTAAGTAAGCTTGTGGAATTATGTTTTGGACAAAGACTCGATAAATCTGATCAATTTTCAAATTGGGAGTTGAGACCCTTGAGAGAGAGTCAAATAATATATGCTGGTGAGTATTATCCCTCTTTCTCTCCTCACTCTTCCTCTTTTCTATTTAATAATATCATATTTAATATAATTTTATTTATATCATTAATCTCATCACTATCTTCTGTTACATACGACAGCATTAGACGCGTATTGTTTATTGGAAATATACAGTCTATTAGGAGAATATTCTGCAGATATGGAAATACCATTTGATGAAATCTGTGCTGAAATACAACATATTCCACGTGCATATAGAGAGACTAATATGAATAAAACTGCGCGTAAGGTATAAATTGTAACAAAATATGTTGTTTCTGAATATTTCATTCTCTTAATTTTCTATATTTTTTTCGCTCAATAACAAATGAAAAGATATATACATTCAAAAATATCTTTACTTATGAGAAAATGTGTACATATATATATATAAAATTTATTTATTGTGTATATCTTTCCTCTTTATTCTTACACGATCAGAAATTGACTAATTTTATACAATACGCTTATACACATACGCTATAATACATAATACATTTTTTTTTGTGTATAGAAATAAATCATTTTGTTTGTAAAGTATGTTATATTGATTTTTAATTATATTCCTTACGTATATTAGAGACGTCCGTTTTACAGAAATCTACATATTCGAATCCAACAATGCCTAATAGAGATAATGAAGATTATCGCGTGAACACGGGAGCTTCGCCGAAATATGGGACGGTACATAAGCCTAATAAATATGGATATTACAACAAGCAGAATAATCAAAATAAATCTGCACATTCTGGATTCAATGACAGATATGATAATCAAAGGAAATATAATGATTATGATAATCATAATCGTGAGAGAATTGCACAGGTCGGAATACTCCGAGTAGTTAATGATAGCAGATATGACCAAAGAAGATACGACAGTCCTGATAATTACAGTCAGAATAGACAGAAAAATATCAGAATGAATCGCACAGCCAACGATAGAAAATACGATAACCAGAGACGACACGATAATTATGATAATTATAACAGATATGAAACTCAAGATAGATGTGGTAATCAAAATAAACGCGATAATTATAATAAATATGACAAACAGAGCAGATGGGAAGACGGTAAAGGTAAACGAAATATCCCAGATAAACAGAACAAGAATAAACAGGAACCTATTCGACGAAATTGGGACTCGATTGCTGCTCATATATGGCGTGTTGTGTGCGACTCGATGCTGGGTGGCTTGAGCAGCAAGTTGCGCATGTGTGGCGTGGATTGTGTGCACGTATTATTTGATCAAGGGGGAGATGATTCCGCCAGATTAGCAATGCGCGAAAACAGGATTTTACTAACGCGTAACAAAAATTACGAAAGAGTAAGATTCGCTTTTATATATATCGACTGTCAATATAAGTTTTAGATAGTAAATTTCATCCTAATGATGTCTGTTACGCGTAGTTTAAACAGTATCTACCACTGGAGAATTGCTATAGAGTAATGGCAGACACACCTGACAACCAATTACGTGAAGTTTTACATCACTTTGGTGTCATGGTGACACAGAATGATATTTTCAGCCGATGTCAGATATGTAATTGTGATGAATTTGTAAAAGTTCCAAAGAAGCTAATGGATGATCTTGTACAAAGGTGAGCTGTGTTTGTAAATCAATTTACATATATATTTATCCATACACACAATGTGATAAATATATTCTAGTATATACGAAGAAACATTCTCCCCAATATTTTTTAGAATAGATAAATATGATTTAAATTCAACATTTTATTTATTCAAACATCAACAACAAATATCTGATGAAATTATCTTTTAAGTATATGGTTTTTTGCTTCTATCACTAGTTTAAGATTTATTTCTTCCATAAGTACATTTTAAAATAATTTAAAATTATTTAAATGAAAGAATTTAAGGCTTAAGAACAAAAGACTTTAAAGTATTTAAAATAAATTTAAGTTAAACATATTTGTGTTAAAGAGATTAAAATTCTTCGTATCAGAATTTATTTGTCATATTTTATATAGATACATACATATATTTTTTCTCTTTTTTTTTTAATCCCATATAGTAAAAATGATTTCTTTGATCTAGTTTCGTGAAAATTATAAGAAAGAATAATTATCGAGTATTGCCGAATCAAGCCGATAATATACGCACATTACAAACCGATATTGATGACTCCGATGATTTTGAACTTGCTCGGAATCCGAATAATTATTTCACAAACAGCGAACATCGCACATGGCATCTGTCTGTGGACACCATTGATATTGATACATGTACAACCAGATATCAAATGCGAATACAAATCGATAAGGTTCCGTTAAATGTACTGAAGAATGTGCAAGTCTTTTATATTTGCGAGCATTGCGGAAAGATTTATTGGGACGGGTCGCATTTGGAGCGAGCTCTTAACGGTGTTATCAAAGATTTAATTGTTAAACAATAAGTATTATACTAAATGTGATAAAAGGTGCGTGCTTAAAAGACTGACAAAGCACAAAAGAAAATCAAAATCGTCCTTAGTTCGAAATTTCGAGTGCATGCTAAGTGTTCCTACAATCTACGATTTCAATGATAAGTACGCGATATTGCCACGCTTGTTCAAGATATCTGTATCTATATTATTTGTGGCATAGACATATAGTCGTGTCGTTATGTCGTTACCACTCTTCCTTACATTTATTAAAGTACAATATTACATTGTTACATCTTGTTATATCTTGTTATTTTGGATATACTGTGTAGCTTTATGTAATATCACCACAAATAATCCTAATTTGAATCTTATTTCTTCAATCAAATTAATCGCCATATTACATCATATAAAATATCTATAAATCTTCATTAATTACTTTAACGATTATTGCTAATTATTGCTGTAATTTTAGCATAGATTGTTAAGTAATCTGAATAGTTTAGAACTTAGATTTATATTTTTTTCTTTTTTGGTCTTTAATTGGTAAGATGACGATTTCCGAAATTATTTTTGAAAATTAATGATGCAAATATCCTAAGATGTAATTTTTTCTATTACACGACTACATGTTTGATATCGTATATATTTCTTATATAAGAGCAAATCAAGTGCATGTAAAGTGCATATACTTCAAGTATCTACTTTACTGCACATTTGTATCCTTGCGATTGTTTCTCCTAATATTAAGCAAACATTATAGTACAAGACATCTGATTTTTCATGAAATATATCTTAGTTACTCACATATATACATATATATATTTACATAGAAAAATATGTGTATCTATTTTTGATCGAAAAGAGCAATGAAAAGGAAATTGATACTATGAGACATTCTAGACTTAACAGTTTTTTAAATCTATATTTCCTATATTTTCCACCAACTATGTGTTATAGCAAACTTTATTTCTATTTAAATACAAAATAAAAATATAATTCTTCCATTTCTATGATTCTGTTATTATTACATAAATTTAATTGCAGAACATGATACATAAAATATGTACATATAATGGAAAAAAAGAACTTCATAAATGTCTTAAATTTACAAAAAAAAAGTTTTAATATATTCGATATATTTTATCACGTTCGTCTCTTTATGCACAATATAAATATCTACAAGGAATATTCAATTCGCTTTATTCCGTCGATTCCGCGTTTACTGACGGAGATTCTCTAACTGGACTAGAACTTTCAAATTCTGCTGGTTCCACGAGTCGCTTCTTTCCATATGGTGGTGGTCCAATTAATTTTTCCACATCATTGTACAATAATGTTTCCTGCCTTAACAGAGCTTCCGCGAGCTGTGTTCGATAGAAATATTTGATACAAATATGGTATTGTTTAACTATTATTTTAAAATATGTATAAAGAATATACATACAGTATCTAATTTATCTTTGTTTTCCAAAAGCAATTGTCGAGTTCGCTTATACGCTTCCCCTATTATTTTCCTTACTTCGGCGTCCATTAAATTGGCTAATTTTTTACTATATGGCTTCCTATTTTTCTATAAGAGAGAAAAGATACATGATGCTCTTGGAAATAGAAAAAGCTTGCAAAAATATTATCTCATACCGTGCTGATTTGTTCTTCCTCAAAAGAAAGTAAACCTAGACTTGGGCTCATTCCATATTGTTGAACTTGATGATATGCCATCTTTGTCACGCTCTTCAAATCGTTTTCGGCGTTCGTCGAAATTTTATCAAACGTCACGTATTCCGCGACTCGACCACCTAGCGTCATACACATGCGTTCGAAAAGTTGCTCTTTACTGTAAAGCTTCTGATCGGATTGGGTGTGTTGCGTGAATCCTAGTTTCAAATTGGTTCGCGGCACTATTGTTACTTTGAGCAGGGCATCAGTGTGTTCCAATAACCATCCCACTAACGCATGACCAGCTTCGTGATAGGCAACGATACGCTTCGTAGACGGTGTTAACGAATTGTTTCGCTTTGTCAAACCACCGATTGTTCTATCGATCGCGTATATAAGATCACTGCTATCTACTTGTTTCTTCTTGTCCCTTGCGGCATGTAGCGCGGCTTCGTTGCAAACATTTGCTATATCAGCACCTGAAGCACATAATGCACTTATAATAATTGTTGAAAAATAATAATGTAAGCGTATAAAATGCTATTCTTTTTACAAATCAATACCACTAAAACCGGGTGTAAGATAAGCCAAATATCCCGAATATTTCGAAGGTTTGTTTTGTAAAGATATTTTTTTCAGATGAGTCTCGAAGATTTGTTGTCTCTCCTCTAACGTGGGAAAATCGATCAAGATATGTCGATCGAATCTGCCGGGTCTCAATAACGCCTTATCCAATACATCTGCCCTGTTCGTTGAGGCCAATATAATAACGTTTTCCTTTGATATCATCCCGTCCATTTCTACTAGAAGTTGATTTAATGTTCGTTCAGATTCACGATCGCCGACTCCTAATGAATCCTCCGAACGTTTTTTGCCGATTGCGTCAATTTCATCGATGTATATAATACTTGGTGCTCTATGAAGAAAAAAATCATTAAAATATAGATGCAAATATTAAAATATAATTTAAAGAAAAGAATAAACCTCTTTTTAGCTTCTTTAAATAAATCTCTGACTCGAGCAGCTCCTAAACCACCAAACACCTCGATAAATTCGGAACCGTTCATAGACAAAAAAGGAACGCTTGCCTCAGTCGCTACAGCTTTGGCCAATAATGTTTTACCACATCCGGGAGGACCCAAAAGTAAAACACCTGAAAAGAGAATCATATTTTTAAATCCAACTTTTGTTGCATAAACTTAGAAATATTAATAATTTTCTATTTAATACTAAATAAATAATAATAATTTTCTATACGTGTTGAAGCTTGCCTTGTGGAATTTTAGCGCCGAGCACTTTATAACGTTCTGGTTTCTTCAGATAATCGACAAACTCCATCACTTCTATCTTGGCTTCTTGTAGTCCAGCTACGTCGGCAAAATGCACGCCTTTGCCCTTTCCTATTAATGGTTCGATTAAAGTGAACTTTGCCTGTTTCATTTGCGAGATAAATTCGAAAGGCTTGAAGGAAAACCGTTTGCTTATGAAAGCAAAAGCAGCAGCCATAATCGACACGATAAACAAAAGTCTTATTATGTTCACAATGATTTCCTGTCCCCTTTGGTAAACTACTTGTACTCCTTGGCCTAAAATATTTCAGACAAATATTTCAATAGTTGTAATCTCATATTATTTGTCAATATTTGATAGGTGATTTATCTACCAGGTTTTATGCCAAGACTGTTTTCCACTCTCCTCAGTTTTTCCTCAAAATTTTCGACAGATGGAACAGATAAGAAATATCTCTTGAATGGAGTCCTTCTTCCTTTAATAATAGCATCATTGTATACTATAACACTAACTTGGTCAATACCAGGGTTCACAATAATTCCTTCGACTTCTCCTTTGCTTAAGAATTCATGTACAAATTCATTCCAAGAGATAACAACTGCATACTATTCAAGAACATTATGTTTTAACAGTAATATCTTATTTTTTTCAATGATTCTACAACCGTAATAAACTCACTTCTGGATTTGTATCCAATTGATGTCTCAATATGGCTAATGTAATAAATGCTAGAATAAATGACATGAAGAGAATTTTAGTGAGAATTGAGAACATTTGTTCATTTTTGTCAGGCTTTTTATTTGGATCTTCAGACCCTGAGTCTTTCGCTGATTGTTCATTGGAATTACCACAGGTAGTATTGAAATATCTGATGTTATTGACTCTCGGAAGAAAGCTAAATTTGCCACTGAGTAATAATACTGATTGTATAGCATGAAGTTCTTTATGTATCTTCTTGTAAGCCTAAAAACAAATCTAGTAAGCAAAATGTTAACAATATGTGAGCAAATTTAAACAGAATATTACATATTGATATTGCATATTGGAACAGATTTCAATTATTTAAAAGATTGTTATTTTGAAATCAATGAAATATTTAAATGACTATGACATAATAGTTAATTTAGTAAATTTTCAATTATATTCTACTAAATCCTGTTATATTTCTATTAGCATTTTACTAATAAAATTTGTAGCAGACACTGCAAAATCTAATAAATAATAAATCTGATTATAGAGGACTGAAATATTCTCATTAATGATATTTCTATCTTATGAAATAAATATATGTTACGTATGGAAATTGTATATGAGTTAATAGGAAAGGAAAATTAGTTAAATAAATCAGTTAAATCAGTTAAATAAATGTAAATAGAAATAGGAATAAAAGATCATAAAACATGTTGGTACTTGCATGATAAGATATAGGAAGAAATAACCTATAAGCTCCATTATTGTGCGAATAACTCAAATGTTTAACGTCGACGAAAAGTTTTTTCTTTGAAAGATAAATATTTTTCGGTGAAAAACTGAATATTCGACTTGGCAACGTATAATGTCGCCTTGGACATTTGATTAGATTCTGCATCTTTCAAAATTCAACTTAGGAGACCCGAACCTTGCCTTTCATCATTCATATTTCGTATGCAGGTTTGTTCTTTGAACAAAACCAGCCGGTCTCATCATAATCTAATTTGCCAATTAAAAAACCTGAAACTAATCATCCTACTGACTTCATAACATAATTATCTTAATTAAAAACATTATTTAAAGGTATTATATTTGACATAAATAATAAATCATCAAACAAATCAGTTTATAGAAAATGGACAAGGAAAGCGAAATAATAAAATTTTAAGTTTTGCAGTTGGTAATTCTTAAATTTAATTCATCAATATGGGCACTCCGCGCTAGTACCTTTAATCTTAATACCGTTTTATGTCTTGGTAGAACTGGATTACTTTGTGGAGACCAGTGAAAGACCGCCTTGATGATTCCGAATTTGCTCGCTGACGTCATCGTATCGTCATTACTTGTATTTACTTCGTGTGCAAGGGTGTGGTGTAGGGCGATCGTCGTAGGATCCATGTACATTTTCATAAAAGGTCATGTCATGTTCGCTGAGATCGGATTGGCTCTCTCTCCTTAAAATCTGACAAGAATACAAATGTGTCAGCTGCGTGACACTCGCATAGGTAGTAGTGCCTCAGCTCCATTACTTTATTCGTTCAATTAATTTATTTAGTGTTTACGTCGTCGCGAATTTTACTCCTGATCAACAATTGGTTGATAAAGACAAAATAAAATCAAAAATAATAAAGCCGAGGGACTTCAGGTATACAGCTTTGAAGAAATTAAATAACTTGTCAAAATAAACATTTGATAAAATAAAAATGCATTGAAAATCGGTAAATAATAAAAACGGTGATAAGAAAAACAGGAAAAATAATATTAATAGGGAAGAACAAAATATTAGTGTATTATGAGAGGATTATCAATAAGTAATCAGCTGAAGTGAAACAATTAGGGTATCATTGGCCCATTATGTTAACTCACGTTATTCCTAATTCCTTTATTAGTCTTTATTATTTATTTAACGTGTTTTTAATAATAGAAGATTCCAATAATAGAAATCATTGTGTAAAGCAGATTGAACACAGGCGAGTAGAAAGAAAAGATAGCTAGGAGTATTTGTCAACACATCAAAACATAAACATCTTCTTCCGTTAAAATATGCCAGGGTAAGCATCTCCTTGAGAAATGTCCATCTTTTGCATAAATATTTAGGATATAACACAGCATACATATATACATTGAGAAAGTTACTTTTATAGTAGTTACTTTAGTTAAGTGATTTGTTATTTTTATATCAAGTAATGAGTTATAATCTTTATTATTTTTTATCGTTTTGAAGATTTCTTTTAGATTTGCTTATGTTCTTTAAATAGATGTAATAATTATAAAACTTGTAATGATCAAATGTATTTATTAAAAATATAGCTGTTATTATTATTATTATTACTAATAAAATATATAATATAAAATATATAATTATTACTAATAAAAAATATATAACATTACCGATTTGTTACTGAAAAAAAATAATGGTAACATTAATGATGTTACAAATAAATACTTCTTATTCTATGTATGCATGTACATGGAAGATTGTTTTCTTTTGTTTTTTTGAAAATATGAAGGAAATGTATTTCTAACTGATTTGTTCTATATTGTACGGAATAATTATTTAAATTTGATTATGACTTATTTACAACTATTATTTACGAATTCATGAATCATAAAATATCTGAAATTTATATATTGTATACAGGGTTACAGAGATGTCGTTAGATCATATGTCCTGCTCCCGCTGTAGAGAAGGCTTCGTCGCGCATGAGAAAATTGTTAACTCCAACGGCGAACTGTGGCATCCGCAATGTTTCGTGTGAGTACAAATGTAGCATGATCATCAAAAAGTTGCAGAAAATAAATAACTGTTATTTTGTAATGAATAAATATATACGAATATTGCAGAAGAAACTATAAAATAAAGTCAATTCATTATTCTTCAGAGCAACTGTAAAGATTATATTATCTTATGAATTCTTATATCATATGGTCAATGTTAATTTTGTTAGGTGTGCGCAATGCTTCCGGCCATTTCCAGATGGAATCTTCTATGAATTTGAAGGATACAAGTATTGCGAACATGATTTTCATGTTCTGTTCGCACCATGTTGCGGCAAGTGTGGTAAGTTAGTTTTCATTTGTGTAGTAATTCAATTGCTTAATTCTGAAAATCAAAAATATGTAATGATATTTTAATATATTAAATCAATCCTATCATTTCTAATAACAGGTGAGTTTGTTATTGGCCGCGTGATTAAGGCGATGAACTCAAACTGGCATCCGCAATGTTTTCGATGCGAAGAATGCAATGGCGAACTGGCGGATGCGGGTTTCATCAAATGTCAAGGCAGAGCGCTGTGTCACACATGCAATGCCAATGTAAAAGCTGGTGTGCTTGGGAAACATATATGTCATCAATGCCAGTACGTTCTTTCATTTCTGCACAAAAGATATAATATATTTGTTATATTACTTAATAGAAAAACGTTTCTTGAAATGTTTAAAAATATGTAGAGAGTAAAAAAGTTATTATTTCGGAAAGAATGTCTCAAGTTTTTTTAACCGATATTCTTTTTTCACGATTTCTAGTGGAGTAATCGATGACAAGCCTTTACGATTCCGCGGTGAGCTTTATCATCCGTATCATTTTAATTGCACGACTTGCGGCGTAGAACTCAATTCGGAAGCTAGAGAAGTCCGCTCCCGACCTGGCTATGCTGCTAATGAAATGGTAAGATTATACTAACTTTTTACAATATATAAATCGCACATAATTATTAAACATTTTTATAATCTAATATAATAAATTTCATGTAATATAGAACGAGTTATATTGTCTACGATGTCATGATAAAATGGGAATTCCAATTTGTGGCGCTTGTCGGCGTCCTATTGAAGAACGCGTGGTAACCGCGCTCGGAAAGCATTGGCATGTAGAACATTTTGTATGTGCAAAATGCGAGAAACCGTTCCTAGGTCATCGTCATTATGAAAAGAAGGGTCTCGCTTATTGCGAGACTCATTATCATCAATTGTTTGGGAATCTCTGCTTTGTTTGTAATCAGGTCATCTCCGGAGATGGTATGTACCAGATAACATATTAAAAATGAATCGTCCAACCAACGTGTAGATGAAATTCGAAAAATTTTGTTTTTAAAACATGAATATATTTCAAAATCAGTTTTTTAAAATTTTTTCTCTTTTTCTTTGGATTTTTAAATTAATTACAAATATTTTAAACTTTCTGAGCTACAAGTCTCAAAATTGGCCTTTCATTGCAACTACATTGAGTTATAATATCAGAAACGAAAGTTGTATAAATCTTTTTTTTTGCTTTAACATTCTAATTTAATATTTGTATTTTAGTTTTCACGGCATTGAACAAGGCGTGGTGCGTTCATCACTTTGCATGCGCATTCTGCGATCAAAAAATGAATCAAAAGACGAAATTCTTTGAATTTGATTTAAAACCCGCATGCAAAAAGTGCTACGATAAATTTCCGCAAGAGTTGAAGAAACGAATGCGACGAATGTACGATCTGAATCCTAAAAGGATTCCACCGGTGTAAACTCAGATTTGATTTCTTTCATATGAGAATCTTTCAGGATTAATCTAATACTCATTCGCGCTTATAGTGCTTTATCTGCCTTAATCAACATAAAAAGAAGTATACTTGTTTGTTACATTATGAGCTATATAGTCTACCAAAGCTATTCTTTTATCAATTACAAATATTTTTAGGTAATCGCTATATCTGTTTTTAATGTAATTTACGATTGAGAAATTATTCCTGTTTTCAATTTGAAATATTTTCTCTCCATTCTGGCATCAATTTGAATGGGGAAAAGTGCAATAGTTTCATAACATTTTATACATGAGGCATAACGCTAGTTTATAGAATCATTTTATATAATCTATATGACAAAATGATAAGAATTATCTTTGATTAAAAATTGTCTAACGTATAATATATAATTATTTTTCGTTTTTATCCGGATTACTGCCGATACACCTAGATTTATAAGTACTGACATCGAAAATATTTTTATTATATAAACGTATGTAATAACAATTATATATATTTATATTTAATCAAGTTTCATATGGATTTTAATTGTATATTTTAATTTTAATATATTTTTGATCGAGATTGGAAAAAAATGTTTTCATTAGAGGTTTGATAACAAAATGAAGGATGAATGACAAGATGTATCTAGTAACAGAAATGAATGCGCAATAAAAAAGGCATTTAATGGAAGTAATGAAGTTTTATTTACAAATCAAGGCATTACTGTTTTATATTCACACGCGTGCTTCTGGTTTTCTACTCTCTCACTCATTTTAAAACTTTTAACCCGTTCAAGGTCATAAAAAAATAATGAAAAAGTAATCACTTTTCACAAGTTTTACTTTTCTTTTTCTCGTCGAGTTACCTTTAATTATTCCATTTATGTCAAGTATACTTATTTCCACAAGTACTTGCACGTTGATTATCTGAGAGGAATCCTTGCACTCACACTTCCATTTAATCCTAGAATACTAATGATACATAATAAAAAAATAGCATTTAAGTTTAGCATTATGTTTTTCTTTTCGTTCTTCTTGCCCATTAAAATAGCATGGTTTACTTTTAATAAAAATTTATTTTTCTCGTCTTGGCATATTTTTATCAGGAAAAATCAACATACGTAAATTTAACGTATGATTAGTGTTAACTGCTTGCTAAAAGTATGATTAGTATTCTAAGGTTAACGCTGTATTTAGCGCTAAATGTGGTCAATTGATCCTGAACTTTAAAGCGGTATAATAATCGATTCGCGTATATATATATATATATATATATATATATATATATATAGTTCAGTGACGTCAGAGAGGCAAGGGAATCTATAGAAATTCTCGTGGTGACCTACGCTCTTATAAAAGCATATAAAATCATGAACCGAAAAACGGAAAGGAAGGTTTAAAAAGAAAGATCAAAAATTGTAAGACGAGATGAAAAACGGAAACTTCATATAAAAAATGCTTAAAAAGTGACCTATTATTTTATTATATCCGAAGTACTTTCAAAAAGAATTTCGGAAACGAAGTTTCTCGGTAAAATACAGTTTGAAGAGACTCATCAATGTGACGATACGGGCTTCATTTTTGCTTTCTCAAATAACAACATTCCGAGTCGTGAAAAAAATAAATTGCAAATAATGTTCACGCACATATTTATAAATATATTTACTAATTGGAGAATTAATTAACGCCGTTTATCAATCAGCTACAAGTATTATAAAATATGTGAAGTTTCTTCAAATTTCTTCGCACTTTTTTACAATGAGGGATAAAAAAATTAAGATCGTAAGGACTTTCTTCTAGATTTTTCGATATTATTTTAAATATCCATTTCTACCAATGTAGATTAACTTTAAGTTTAACTTACTCTTTACCTTTTCTAGAAGAAAGAATCAATGGGAGAAGAAGCTTGTCTGTTCTATGTAATATAAAATAAGATTTAGTTTTCCAGGCTATTTCAAAATTAAAATATATAGGCAATGAGAGACCGTAAACGGTCTTTAGGCATTAGGAGATTGGAAACATAAACAGTTATCGGTGAGAAGCTGTCGTGATCATGCAGGCTAAGTGTCACGAATAAGTAAACGAAAAAAGGTCGTTCAATCCCGTTGATTTTTCTATCTTCATAGTTTTTTCAAAAACGAGATTCAGTCCGCGTTACCTCGACGGGAGGCATTTAGCCAATTACTCGAGTGACGATGCGATTGGTACTGCGGAGATTTATTTAACACACCGAAATGAAATGGTTGATCAAGAAACTTAATCGTTCCGTATGAACGAAATGTGGAGTACGTAACTTCCACGTTATGCAACCCTTCGGGTTTGGAGGCATGCCATATTCATGCGAGATGAATGTAATGTCCGGATAGAATGGCCCGATATATTGCAACATGTTTTAATTTTGATATGTTTTAAATTGACTTTATGATGACAAACAACAAATTTATCTGGATGCATTAAAATTAAATCGAGATTAAAGCTAATCTATTGGTTAAGCTGTATTGGCAGAGATGAAGAAGATTTTCTTTCATGATTGTACATGCTTTCGCAAAAGATTGTCTCGTTTTCCCCGTTTCTAAAGTCGCTATTATACTGCCTTAATTGTCCATATAAAGATCACGCTTGTCGTGGACCGGTTCGCATTTAGCGCTAGATGTGCTAGACGTGCAAATATAACAACTTCGCAAGCAAGCCACGGTATCCACGGTATCGCGAATTAATCGCCGAGATATGATTATCAGCTAGCGCTACGTTCTCCTACGATACGATCATCACAGTCCGATGAAGTGGATGATGAAGCCTAAGCGTGGACAAATCACATTTAGCGCTAATTACGCAACGCGAATACGTGCCAGCGATTTCGAAAAGTCTATATTCACATCCCTGTTCGGCGCCACTTGATTCCAATGCGACTATCCGATATTCCGGGTTTCATTTCGCACTCCGAATGTATTACACGTGTATAATCGTAAGATCCTATTCCGGGACGTAATCAGATAGCCGCATTTCATGCCAAAACGTCGTCGCTATGAATACAGGACCATGCTACTTTATTGCGATGAAAGACGACGCGCGGGCCTTCAACGGGTTAACAATAGATTACGAAAAGAGAAAAACCTTTATACAATTTGCGCATCGATAATATTAATAATAATAATAATAATAATAATAATAATAATAATAATAATAATAATAATAATAATAATACAAT